ACACGTTTTCCTTAAGAAAATGGGTTTCTACCATAATTATCATTATTATTATTATTAGGTTTTATTAGATATGGTTAGTAGTCTTTCAGCAGGATTAGGTTTAGTATTAGGTTTTCCTATCTTTCGTTATAAATATGTACTTGCGTTTTATTCAGAGGAGGCAAGAACCATTATTCAGAAAAGTATCTCAAACCCTAATCTCTCTCAATTTCGTCACCTATCCCTAGGCCGACGGCCATTCTTCTCCTCGATCCCCAATTTCCTCTTCTAAATCCCTAATTCCCAATTCTGTTCTTCCCCAATTCTTTCCCAAATCCCTAATTCTATCTTCCCAATCCCTAAATTCTCAAATATCACCCAATACGAATCCCGTTAGAAACTTTGTTTCTAACATCTGGTATCAGAGCCCGGTTCCGATCGGTGAGTTCTTCTCAACTCCATCAGGGACAGCTTAGAAACCGGAGAATCGACGATGGAAAAATCAGAGCAGCCATGGGCTCAGTTGCAAGAAAGGTTATGGGAAATCGCGAACTACTGGAAGAAGGAGTCGGCGCGAGGCGCCGCGGCAGAGAAGGAGGGCGAGAACGCCGGGGGAGCGCGGCTGACGGCGCAGGAGATATTACAAGTCGCCTCGCCTCGGCAACCCAAACCATCAACCACCACCGTGGCGGCTTCACCATCACCAGCATCGGCGGAACTCACCACCGTTACCCAGCTACACGCGTCGATTCAGAAGAAGGCAGCAAAGGCTAACCAGCCTCCAAAGTCAACCGCTGTCGTCCCAACTCAAGTCTACTTTGCGGAATCAGTCTCTCCGTCCGCAATCAGAGCCAACAATCTCGAAAGCCACCGAGAGGGAGGAGTTTGGACCAGCCCTGCGGCAAGGACGATTTTTAGGTCAACTCCAACTCCGCCAATTCCAATTGACGGAGGGAAATTCCGGAAGAAGAAGCAACCGCCGGAGTCGCTAGAACCGAAGCTGGCTTTGGCTTCTATCCTCGGAGAAGAAGTTGCTGCTGCAGCAACCATACCACCTCCATCTGAGGTCAAAGAAGAAAAAGGAGATGGTATCGCCCTTGTCGATGTCTCTAATAAGGAGACGGCGGAGCAACCGTTGATGGAGGAGTTGGTGGGGGCGGATTCGCCGGCCATCAAAGACAAGTCAACGCCATCATCTGTGGCTGAAATCACCACGATGATGCAACCACTACTGTCGAGCGCCGTTGTGGAACCACCAATCAAGGTGTTTGACTCACCAAGAATAAACGATGAAAAAAGGCGGCGAGAGGGCTACGTCGCGTCACAGGCAGGCAAATATCCACCCTTGGTGGCTGTCGTTGCGAAGGCAGATGGGGGAAGGATCGATCCGCCACCCTTGCTCCTGGAATCGTCCGATTCTGCTAAAAAAGGGGCACCGCGTCACAAGCTCGTCTCGCAGGGGCGCTGTTCATGGGGTCCCTTCCTCGGGGAGACAGAGCGGGCGACCAAGCTGCAGGGGACGACGAACGTTCGATGGCGCAGGGTAGAGGCAGAGCAGACTCGTCGGGATCCATCGGTGGCGGCGTCGAACTCGCCGCCTCCTTGTCAGGCGGATGGTGCGCTGCCGGAAGAGGAGTTGGAGGAAAGGCCGCATGAGTTGGAGTCGTTTGCGGCGCTGGCCAACGGGGTAGGAAAGGCGAAGGCGGCGGCGTTCGGGCAGGCTGGCCGAGGCGAGGAAGGCGGCGCGCGGCGGGAGGCGCGCGCGACTGCAGGCGGCGGCGCGGAGCAGAGCCCGCTCGTCGGGGCTGGCGGGGGCTGGCTTTTCCACCGGCAGAGGAGCCCATCGCCGCCGAGGAAGGGGTGGACGACGAGCGAGCAGAGGAAGGAGGGCGGCGGTATCGCTTTCCATCGTCCGAACCCTAGGTCACCCCCCGTGATCCACGCTGCGCAGCAAAGCCCAGTACCCTTGGGCCTCTCTTCTGATCGGGCCGTCAGTCCGGGTGGGTTAGTTGGTGCGGGCTGTGGGCTTGACTGGGATCAGCCGAGCGGGCCAAAGAAGGAGATTGAGCCGACCGGGCCAAGGTCTGGTTATGAGCCAAGCACAGAAGATACAAGTTGTGCTGAAGGAAGGAATGGGCCGCATTTTCAGGTAGGTTGTGGGCCTAAGCTGGGCTGTCTCTTAAGCCCAATTTGGGCTGGGTTTTGAGGAAAGCAGAATTGGATGAAGTTCTTAAGTTGGCAGATGGGCTTATAAGGGAGCCAAGCCCACACGAGATTGAGAAGAAGATGAGGAGCACCATGAGGCCTAACATTGGTTTGGGCTCTATCTCTTCCTTCCAATCAATCGTGGGTCAAGTCCAAGATAAAGGAGGAGATTGGATTATTTTCACATCCAAGTCAATGGAGGAGTTTATGGAGCATGAAGAAGAACATCTCTCCAATTCTTATTTAGTGAATTTTGCGAACGAAGGGGAAGAGTTATTTGGCTATGGAGACCGTGTCACGTGTCACGTGGTTCGAGAAAAGTGGAGGAGAGTCGAAGTCACTGGAGTGGGCTTCGTCCGAATAGTGGAGCACGATTGGAAGAAAAGAAAACGTAGTAAATGGAGGAGCCACGACGCGGATTGCACAGTAGACGGGAAGAAGTGGGTCGAATTGATCAACCTTGAGGGCAAGGTTGGTCTCAAGGGGGAGGGGATGTTAGAAACACGTTTTCCTTAAGAAAATGAGTTTCTACCATAATTATCATTATTATTATTATTAGGTTTTATTAGATATGGTTAGTAGTCTTTCAGCAAGATTAGGTTTAGTATTAGGTTTTCCTATCTTTCGTTATAAATATGTACTTGCGTTTTATTCAGAGGAGGCAAGAACCATTATTCAGAAAAGTATCTCAAACCCTAATCTCTCTCAATTTCGTCACCTATCCCTAGGCCGACGGCCATTCTTCTCCTCGATCCCCAATTTCCTCTTCTAAATCCCTAATTCCCAATTCTGTTCTTCCCCAATTCTTTCACAAATCCCTAATTCTATCTTCCCAATCCCTAAATTCTCAAATATCACCCAATACGAATCTCGTTAGAAACTTTGTTTCTAACCGTATATATGTCCATTGGGCCAAAATGCATATATAATATACGTCAATGAACTCAAACAAGAAGTAGTCTACTATAGTTTGCTGTCTGCATGCAGAATTACGAGCATTAATTAATTACAATTAGAGTGGGGGACATCGTATGTATCGCCGGATCAAACCTAATCCTAATTAGCATGATGGACGTAACAAAAGTTAAATTATAGTATCGTGTCCAACTTTAGTTAATTCAGAATCTAAATAACCAAAAACTTATGAAACCCAAAATTGATCACATGTCGTGCAGGCCCCATTTCATAATTGAATATTACCCGTTGGCAGTGTTTTTATTTGCCTGTTGTTTCTTCTTTGGTAGGACCTGAGAAGCTGCAAATTGAACAAACACGGGCAACTAATTAATATGGCTCTAAACAAAATTTAATTATCGGCATTGTTAATTAACCGTACTGTAATCACAACAAGATGATCATCAAGGTTTGGATAATGACTTTCGATGAGTTCTGAATTTAATTACATCCCCATCAATGGTCGGCAGAAGAAGGAGGTCAACACTCCACGACAGGTCCAACCTTTTTCAACTTATTCCTTTCTTTATAAAGACTTGATAACTTATAATTTATGCATGTTTTCTTGTCTTTGTATATTTTAGCACATTTGTCATGTCGTCATTTTGGACCAAGTTTGTTGGCTTCCCAGTTTTAAGCTTGTTTTCGGGAAAAAAAAAAATTATGTTGGTTTGTTTTAGATCCTTTTTTTGTTTGTTTGTTGAAGTTTTAGATCCCTTTTGCTATTGAAATTTCTAGATCTTAACACATCACTTGGACAAAAAGGATATAAACAAACAACCCAGAAAAAAAGAACTCAATAATAAATACAGATTGAACACGAATCGTGTTCTTGACAGATGTCTTTTTACAGAGCCACATATATTATGAAGAATTCAATACGAGAGAATAATGTCATATTCTTTTAGAGCAAGAATAAGGCGAACACACTAGTTTTGCATTGGAGAAGAATAGTTAAGAAATTTTATAGATAATTATCGATCTCGAAGTTCAAGAGTTAGAAAATTTGATGACGCCTTCTGAAAATCATAGCAACTTGCTCTCTTCCTTGTTTGTTTTCACATTCTTCATAAACTAATGCTACCTAGTATTGAAATAGATAAATCCCGATCGCCAATACATGTCATTCGAAGTCCAAATCGACTTCATTTCTTCCTCGTTTATCCTCCATCAACTAATCTTGATTGTTGCTTGAATGGAGGAACCCTAGTTGTAACTGCAGTACCGATTGAATTATGGTTTTGATGTCTTGCTTCGATACTAGATGTATATTGCATAATTTCTAGCTTCTTGTTGCTTATTCGTATCATACATTTGATGTGGAGTATATCTCCTTCACAAGACTGATCACTTCAAAATAGAACAGAATGATCGAGCTACTCGTCGACATAAAGTCATGAAAACCCCTCAAATTAAGGTGAAATAGTAACATAATAAAGTCATAGAAAAATAAAGTAAACTCATTAGTTAGTTAACAAGATGCTGGTGTTAGCGACAACATAGTAATGTTACATTGTGCTTAATCAAGGAGTAGAAAACAGCGCCTGTATTCTGTACACCTGATTGCGATCAAGGCAAAGGCATTCATTCACCTCAACAGAATAGCAATTCACTCACAGAAAAAGAGTGCAGAATACAAAGAACACGTATGAATGTCACATAACACTACCTTTCTATTACCTCTAGTAGTTCATCAAAAGTGTTATGTGCATGTTAAAGTGGGTGGAAGATGCATTCGGCAACATGGTATAGACCGATGTGGCACAGACATGGATGATGCATCATTACATTATATGCATCCAAATTACCTGCTGAAAGACTGAGCAGCCAGCACACTCCAGTAGGTAGCGCCAAGGTAATACTTAATACCCAAGATCGCTTGGATCCCCAACATACTCGGCTATTTGCTCAAGTTTGACTTTGAGGAACTCATGGCTATCCGAATCCTGCACAACCCCGGTTTCCTCTTCTAAGTCCCTTTTCACCAGCTTTCCATACACTCCCTTATGTTTCCCATACAAAACGAGAACAGGACCTCCACTCCTTGGCAATGCAGTCTCAAGAAGATCTTGATCAACTCCCTGCACCAGCTCCCTGCTTCCATCCATGGAGAGGTCACAGATATACGGTCCCACAACATCCACCACCTCCCCTTTCTTCAAGTACAATCTGCCTCCTTTCATGTCCTTACTTATGATCCTAACCCTAATGTGATTCCTTAGCCATGGGGTCCCCCTTTGTTTATCAGGTTTTATTCTCTCGGCATCTCTCTTTCTGTCGCTTTCTCTATTTGTGCGTTTTCCACTCCTCCCACTGTCCGATGACTGCTTTTCACTTCTAACCCTTAACTCTTTCAATTTCTTCAAGCACTTCTCTTCTTCTACTGATCCTAAGGCTGCGACATCGGAAGCATGTACCCTTAATTCCTCCCCAGTTTTTGCAAGCTTCAGAACTAGCCACTCAGTGCCTAATTTTTCCACAACAGTACCTTTATAACCTACAGCATCCCCATTTGAACCAGCAACCAGCCTGACAATTTTACCAACAGCAAATCCATCAGCCTTGTCATCTCTATCCGTTTCTTTCTCTCTTCCTGTACCTCTCTCCTTCTGTTTGTTCTTGTCACTACTCATTTCAGATTCATTGGACATAAACCCAAGTCCTTGCTTATCTGTTCTCTTGAAATATTGCTTCACTTCAACATCTCCCTTGGCATTCTTTCCAATACCCCTTCCTTCTGTCCATCCATAACCAGCGAGCAAGGCTGCACCAAAACCCTCTACTGGAACATCCTCAAACTCCTTGAATCCTTCATCATCCGGAAGATGATGTAAATCATACTTCAACTTCTCCAAGAGCATGTTCTCGGTGCTGGATTTTTCAGATGGGAAACCCCCACTACCATCTTTAGAAGAGTCTTCATTTTCACTCTGCCGAACATTAAGCCCATAAGATACATTGCCACCACTGCCATCATCAACGCCATCAACAGCAACCTCGAAGCGGACGTCATTAGCTGAGGTATCAGATTGAAGAGAAGCAAGGCTGTGGATGTTCTTCATTTTCTTGTGAGGCCGCCATTCGTTCTCCTTTGGAGGAATAATGTATTTCGGTTTATTTTGTGTAGCATGAGATTTTGAGGGATCGAACTCTGTCACATACTCTTTCTGTCTCTGTTCAGTTTCTTCATCTTTGGAAACAAGTATAGGTTTAGTTGTAGGCTTGGATGAAGAGGATTTCGCCGGGATCGAGAATGAAAGCTTCATGACTCTCTAAAGCTGTTTGCTCCAAAAATCACCTGTGACAGGAAAAATCAATATTTAGTGTCACTGGTTTGAACAATGAAGCAAACACAAGCAGCACGTCTTCGTTAAACTATATCACCCCAACATATATGAGCTAAAGACTAGCTAGAGAACTTGATAAGATTCAAATACTCAACATGCATAAATGATGAAACTGCCTTGAAACAAGCACATGAAACTCAATCGTGTAAAGATTGATACTACATACACGAGCACAAAAGACCAAAAGGCAGAAGGTCTCCATAGTTTTGTTACTTAAGCAATAATTAGGGAATAACAGAGGTACATCGAACTCAATCATGTAGCACCCATGAGCCATTGACTGCATCACGAAGCACATGAATCTTCATCATTAGCAGAAACCTATAGAACATAAGGGCTTTAATTATGCAATAACATGAAAGAATGCCAACACAACCTGATAAGGCAAGGGGCTATTCAGGAGGATTATATCGAGCAATTTTCGCTCAACCCACTTCAAGTTAGCGCGAAAATGGATGCAAAACGAAGAAGAAGCCAGCCAACACACCCGTAATTTAAATAAACCCTAATCTCATAATCTTCTTACAATTTCAACCAATACAACCCTAGTTCGAAATGATCTTCTAGATTTCTCATCAATAAACAAGTAAATATCACCAATCTGACCTTTCAAACTCCCCTGGGGCGCCGGTATTTCAGTAAAAATTCGGGGATTCCGCCGGTCAGGCGTGCCTCGCTGAACGGGCGAAGAAACTTCGCCTCCGCCCGCCGCCTTACCGCAAACCTGGCCGCTCCTCCACGCCGCCTTTCCGTTGCCTTAGTCGGCAGATGAAGGCGCTCTAGCCTTTTTCAGGTCGCCGGATCTGGTATGAAGCAGAGGCAGAGAACTGCTGGACTCGCGACTTTCGTTGCGTCGTCTGACTTCAAACTGTCGTTTGTTTTCGCAGACTTTTTAATATTTTCCAGACTTTTTTTTTTCTCACGAAAGCCCAATAATATATTTCTCCGGCCCAAAGGCCAAAACCCAACATTTAATTTCTCCAGTTTTCTTTCGGAAGCAGGAGTCAGGACTCAGGAGCGTATCACTCCGTTTCTTGCACACTGCCTAAAGACGACGTCGTATTCTTTGGTGTAACTGTAAACTGCAAAGAAGGTTACCACCAAGCTTCTGCAGATCTCAACCTCCAACGAAAAGATGATCAAGATTGATGATCATGTTATGCTGACAACAGGATTGAAATCATAAACACATGACAGAAGAACATCCACGTCGATTCGGACAACTGCTTCCGGACTCGATATCCAGGTCAACTCCATTACAACAAAGCTGTAGCTTATGCAACTGATAGCATATCTACTTCCAAACTCAGCTAGTTCTTGGTTGCAAAAAGCAACAACGAGACGCATTCATAACGAAGCAAAGATAGAAATGCAGCAGGGACTGCTAGTCTCAGTGAGGACAAACACTAAACTGCAACCAGCATCTAGCTGCTAGTGTAACAAAATTCAGACCCGACGCTCCTCATCTTTTCTTGAAACCATATTTCTTACGTTCATAGAACAGATCGGTCTTCGCACTGCCCAGATTCACAATCTTGGGACAGCCATCGCGGTCTTTCTCCTGTTGAGTGCACTCTTTGCAGTAGTAAGCATCAGATATGCCCACTCCTCCACAGATCACACAACGACCCTGGAACGATCCGTAGTTGCACTCGTCGCAGACTCGCACCAACGTGCAAGGGCGCACATAGGAGTCGCAAATCACACATTTGCCATCACATTTCTCGCAGAGTCGCCCAATGGCAATGCCCGGTTGCTTCCTGCACATGATCAAATCAGGATGATGCTTGGCCATGGCTGCTGCTGCTGCTTTTGCTCTACTACAGGTCTAGTTGTGCTACTACACCAGTCAATCTGAAAACATCCATAAACCCATTTTATAAGCGAACATTGCTTTCACAAACCTGCTATCTGAAGCATAGATGAAAGCGGCGCATCCAAAAGCAGATAAATCCAACCCTAATCTCATAATCTTCTGCCGTAAAAATTTCAACTAGTACAATCGTGGTTTGAATCATCTCCTAGATTTCTCATCAATAAACAAGTAAATGTGATGAATCTGACCTTTCAAACTTCCTAATCGCTGGCGATTCGGGAGAAATTTGGGGGATTCCGCCGCTCAGCCGATTCTCGACAAACGAGGCGGAGAAACTTCTGCTCGGCCCGACGCCTAGCCGCCAACCTGGCCGCTCCTAAATCCTGCCTTCCCGGTTTTCCTCGTCGGCTGGAGACGGCGATGTAGCCTTTTGCAGGTCGCCGGATTTTGTACAGGAAGCAGAGCTGCAGAGGCACAGAGCCTTCGTCGAAGCCGAAAGCAGAGGTGATTTGGAGGAAGGGGCCGGCCGTCCGGCAGACCGCGGCTTACGTTTGAGTCCATCTGATTTGGGCCATTTGGCTCTTCCTTCTATTAGCCCAATGTATCCGTCTGGGCCCAAAAAGAAATTTAAATTAACAATTTTATTTCTACCTTGACATATATGTACTCGTGTTTTCTTTCCCACGCAGCACTCTCAAGCAAAACCCTAGGAGCTCTCCGTTGCTTGCTGAGTCGCAGCCTGTGCCGCTCGATATCTCTGTTGTCTATTGCGGTACGTATGAACGGAAACCAAAACTTTATCCTCTTCGTCGGAGATCCGATTTCTTTGGTTTGATCCTTTGTGATTTCGCTGCTGGTTCTTGTGTAGATTGCTTTTGTTTGCCTTTCGTTTGAGTTGGAACTTCCTATTCTACTGATTTTGTTCGTGTTTTACTCTGTGTGTGGAGCTTGGACTCCTTTTGGTTTCTGATATTGGAAATGATGGAAGCCCCAAATGGGTTTGAGTGGAAGACTGGTTTTGATTGTTCTTGGTGCGAGTAGTTTTGGTATTTACTATTTAGACTAGAGTAAGCGTCACACAATCTTTTTACCTTTCTGATTGGCACATGTTTGATTCCTTAATTGGAGAAATTCCCAGCTTCGTGGTTTTCCCATGAGTCTCTGAGCTGCTTGAATGGGGATGTAGAATACTGAATTTGGTGTGACTGACTGATTGATTTCTCGGTTTGAGTTGATGCTTGACTGCCTGCTATCTAGTTTTGGTTTTCGCATTGCTTATGACTGGGGGTATTTGTTGACCTGACCCTTTGCTCTTGACTGCATTGTCTTTAGCAGCAAGGATGGTGAGAGTTAGCGTGTTGAACGATGCTCTGAAGAGCATGTACAATGCAGAGAAGCGGGGGAAGCGCCAAGTCATGATCAGGCCGTCCTCGAAAGTGATCATCAAGTTTCTCATTGTCATGCAAAAGCATGGTATGAAATGGAGCGTGTTTTCTACTTGTCCCTGGAAAATTGAATGTTTGTGTTGCCAATGCCATAGCTGAATTCGGATGAATGCCTGTCTTTGTTTTGATCCGTGCATGCAGGATACATCGGTGAATTTGAATACGTTGACGATCACAGGGCCGGTAAAATTGTTGTGGAGTTGAATGGAAGGCTGAACAAATGTGGTGTCATCAGTCCAAGATTTGACGTCGGAGTCAAGGAGATTGAAGGCTGGACTGCTAGGTTGCTTCCTTCTAGACAGGTTGGTCCAACACAGTTTATAATTTCAATTTGTGTTATTATCAATCCAATGTGCATGATTCTCTTGCTGGTTTGGGTATGAGATAGTAAGTGTGAGTTTGCCTGGTTTATATCCCATGCCCTGTGAGATGGTTTCTCCTTGTTCCTTTTTGGGATAGAATTCATATGCCTGGCTTGATCTGGTTTTGGCAGTTCGGATTCATTGTGCTGACAACTTCTGCTGGCATTATGGACCACGAAGAGGCAAGAAGGAAGAATGTTGGTGGCAAGGTTCTCGGTTTCTTCTACTAAGCTTGGTTTGCTGGCTTCAGATTCATACATGTGACGGGTTGAGTTGAAATTTTTGGAGGTGAATTTGAATGTAGGATCCTTGTACTGGTTTAGGCTTTTTCTCAAGTTATTGGTTGTGGCTGGAGTGGGAGAGGTCCATCTCCTCCACTAAGTCGAAAGGACAGCCTATGTTTGTGCTTGACATTTATCTGAATGTTTATGCTTTGTTATTACTACATGTTCATGAGTTGAAGTTTCAATCTTGTTTTGAATTTGTGCTCCCAGTGTGACAGCTCCTTACCTTCTGAGGATTTTGGTTGAGCTTTATTCGTTATTTTGTGCTTTGGATCAAAACGGTAGGGCTTTACTGTTAATGAATTGGTAAATGACTCCGTTTGGCCATCATTTGAACAGTTGAAGGCATTACTTTTACAATACATCGTAACACTGTTATGTCATGAATGGTACAAACTTAGTTCGTAGCATCGTGAATTTGTTGAAAAAAGAACTTTTATGTTCTATATATTTCGTACATTTATATATTTCGTACATTTATGATACAAATTAAACTTATGTCTTTGACGTTATACTACAATTTTTTTCGTACAAATTCATTTATGATATAAAATAAAATTTAACTTTTAATTTTATATTATAAGTTTCCGTTTGTAGTTTGTACATATATATTTTCTTACAAAATCTTATATGGTACAAAGTAAACTTGTATCTTTAATTTTTTATACAAATTTAACTTGTGAAAGCACTAGCATTTTGAAGAGTAGTAGATGCATATTTTCAAACTATGGAGAGTAGGGGTGTGATTCGGTCGGTAAACAATTTACCGTTTACCGAATTTACCGGTTTCGGTATACCGAAGTTGGCCAAACTGGTTACCGATTACCGATACCGGTTTGTAACCGGTTTACCGATTACCGAATTACCGGTAAACGGTAACAAACCGGTATTACCGAAATACTGTGAGAAGCGATTTCGGGCGATTTTTTCGGTCGGTTTACCGAATATTTACCGAACCGAATCTCTGGAAGTGGGGTGATGTTGTAATATTTCGATTTTTTTGAGTTTTTTTCATCATTTTAGTAATTAATAATTTATTATTAACTCTTATTTACAATATTTTTGAGGCCTATACTTACATTCATGTATGTAATATTTTATATTAACTCTTATTTACAATATTTTTGAGGCGCAACACTAGGGAGTAGGGAGGGGGGATTCGGTAACGGTAATACCGATTTACCGTCGGTATTTACCGATACCGTTTTCGGTAAACCGACTCCCCCAACTTCCCGCTCGGCTACCGATACCGCCGGTAAACGGTTTACCGTTTACCGCCGGTTACCGGTTCGGTAAAACGGTAAACCGTTTACCGGATTACCGTTTACCACCCCTAATGGAGAGTCGTTTGTTTCATGGTTTTGGGTGATGGATTTATCACCCAAATTCCAAGCATGATAAGTATTTTTTGCATTATGAAGGATCGACGGCTGGTTTGATATGCAACTATGGGCCGATTAGCTGGTTCAAGCCGAATTGGGAAAAAATCCAAAAGTACCACTGTTTAAAAAAAAATTCCAAAAATACCACTCAACCCCAAAAAATTCCAAAAATACCACTCTTTTTCAAAAATCGCCACCCCACCCAGCGGTTTGGTCGAAAATCGCTTGTCGAGGGCGCGGTTTTGGACCAAACCGCGGGCCTAGGGGGCGGTCATAAAAAAAATTAAAAATTTGGACCAAACCGCTGGGTGGGGTGGCGGTTTGGCCTAAAACCGCCACCCCAACCAGCGGTTTGGTCCAAATTTTTGTTTTTTTTCCGACCAACTCCTAACTTCGGTCGAAACTTCAAACGAACGTAACTTTGCACTCGGGTATCCGATCGTAGCGATTTTTTTTTCATTTCGCATAACTTTTCAAGATCTACAACTTTTACTAGGATTGAAATTTTCAAAACAGGAACTATTTGTGGATATACGGGACCTTGAGAATAACTTTACCTTTACTTTTCAGAAATCCATGTACATTTTGAAATTATGATTATATTAAAAGTTGTAGGTCTTGAAAAGTTATGCGGAATAAAAAAAAAGTTCATAACATTCGGAGTTTGGAGCACAAAGTTATGCCCGCCCAAAGTTTGACGAAAGGCGAGACCCGGCGGTTTGCGGCTTGCAAGATCTCAAAAAGTTTGCGGCCTCCATTTTTTGAATCCGAATAACTTTTTGAGATCTTGCAAGTCTCAAACAGTCGGGTTCCGTCTTCGTCTCGAAAAAACGTCATTTGCCACCCCGAACGACCTTTTTTTTATTTCGTCAAACTTTGGGCAACCATAACTTTGTGCTCCAAAATCCGAATGTCATGAATTTTTTTTTATTCCGCATAACTTTTCAAGATCTACAACTTTTAATATAATCATAATTTCAAAATGTACATGAATTTCTGAAATGTAAAGGTAAAGTTATTCTCAAGGTCCCGTATATCCAACAAATAGTTCCTGTTTTGAAAATTTCATCCTAGTAAAAGTTGTAGATCTTGAAAAGTTATGCGAAATGAAAAAAAATCGCTACGATCGGATACCCGAGTGCAAAGTTACGTTCGTTTGAAGTTTCGTCCGAAGTTAGGAGTTGGTCGGAAAACGAAAAAAAAAATTTGGACCAAACCGCTGGTTGGGGTGGCGGTTTTGGACCAAACCGCCACCCCACCCAGCGGTTTGGTCCAATTTTTTTTTTTTTTTATAACCGCCCCCTAGGCCCGCGGTTTGGTCCAAAACCGCGCCCCCGACAAGCGGTTTTCGACCAAACCGCTGGGTAGGGTGGCGGTTTTTGAAAAAGGGTGGTATTTTTGGAATTTTTTGGGGTTGGGTGGTATTTTTGGAATTTTTTTTTAAACAGTGGTACTTTTGGATTTTTTCCGCCGAATTGGAAGCAGAAAAAAATGGGTAAATGCCACATTTGGTCACTGAGATTACTAAATCGTGTCATGTTTAGTCACTAGAAAAATTTAATATCAGTTTTGCTCACTCGAATTACTGAAATAGGTCACATTTAGTCACTCTTCTCCGTCCAACTCTGATCACTCGAATTACTGAAACATGTCACATTTAGTCACTCGAATTACTGAAATAGGTCACATCTAGTCACTCTCCCGTTAGCTTTCGTCCAACTCCAATGAAAACTAACGGGAGAGTGACTAAATGTGACCTATTTCAGTAATTCGAGTGACCAAAATTGATATTAAATTTTTCTAAACTAAACATGACATAATTTAATAATTTCAGTGACCAAATGTGGCATTTAAAAAAAAAAAACAGGTCAAATAGAATTCGATCTAGGTTACATACATTTGTAAATACTTGTAAAATATAACCCAACTTGCAAAACAATGACACCAGGTTTTCAAGAACAGGGTAGGTGGCATAATGGCATTCCAACACGAACACACTGCCGGTTCAACCAATCCCACAGCTGACAATCAAAACCAAACAAAATGCTGCTCAATTTTTATTACACCAGCTCACATTACAATAGATCAATAGAACCATGACAGGAATATTCTGCCAGCCCAATTCATCTCCATCCACGAAGAAACATAATTCTAACAGAAGGGTCTGAACCAGGGGAACTGCAAGGCTCTGGCTATATATACCCGTATGGTTTGGAAGCAGAAACCTGATTCATAAAACTGTTAACACATAAAGATTCACTACATTCAATATCAAACTGAGATGAACAAATTTTTTTTTTTTTTTGCCAAAGGAACATAGTTGCCCTAACTCATGGTGTGTCTCCACGCCACAAATCAGCTTCTCTTCACCTCCATTTCCCATATCCACCATTCCTCCTCTCGCTCTGCTGTAGGCTCAGCTGAAGCTCTGCAACACAACATTCTTCAGACCCATGAAGAGGATTGGGATAGGATTATTTGGGTTCGACTCGTCGTCGTCATAATCAGATCGATCAACGAGAGCAAAACCCAGAACCTGGAATTGTGGAAGAGAGACCCTCCAGGGCGTTGAAGGGTGATGGAGGGGAGGATTTGAGGATGGGCTTGTGGCTTTTTGTAAGTTCCAAAAGGAAATGGTTTGTGGGGGAGTAAGGATCTTCTGAGCATATGCTTCTTTCTTTTTTGTGCATGTCACCTTTCTATTTCTATTTCCTTTTTCCTGGTCTTCTTGGTGAGGTCTCTGTTTGCTTTTGGTGCTTTTTTCTTGCTTTGTTGGCTATGGAATTTGTGGAATCTGCTTTGAGATATTCCCTGTTAGTAGGTGACGATGTGTGTGTGTGCCACTGTGCCTACTACTTCAGGCTATTGACAATCGTTTTCCATCGTGTTCAGTGATCATAATTCGAGTGTTGATAATAAATCAACGATACATCTTTGTGTCTCACTTTTTAGGCGTTTGAGCGTTATAATCAATGGATCATTTTAGATTGATATTGTGCTAAGTATAGCCATTGATGATATTTTTAGGATTTATCACTATTTCAATCGTTTCCTAGCCGCCATTTGTTTCGTGTATCTTCTTCTCCTAGTTTATTTTGTATGCTAAGCCGTGTGTTTTCTTTTGTGATTTCAATTTTTAGCACGTCGATGACCAGTTGGAGCGAGTTGCGAGACATCTAAAAGTCACTTGAGCATGAACACGAGGCAAACTCATGGTGTTTCATGGCTAAAAAAGAGAGCTTTTCACGATCGTGACATTTGAATAAGTTTGGTGGTGAAAAATTCATGTCATTGCCACAGGGATGCATGTCGCAGCCGTGTCATTGAAGTTCTTGGCCGTGAACTTGGCTCGCACACTAGTATAAGAGCGAAACTTGGGATTTTGTACAGAAGAGTCATTCTAAAGAGAGAAAATGCAGTATGGAAACAATGTAGAGAGAGGATGAGTTGGAGAGATTTGCGAAGAAAATTCATAAATCAAACTCCCCAAATCCATCCAATATTCATGAGGAGTTGAGAATCTAACAAAGAAAAGATGAATCTAACTAAGAATTGTGTCTTGTTCCTTTTTTACACTTTTTCTCTATTTGATCTAGTTTCTCTAGCCCCTTAAGTGTTTGTCTGCTTCAGGGAATTCATCGTATGCTTTATGAAGTTTGTGGTATACTTCAAAGAACTTTTAATATGCTTTTATGAGATTTTTGCTCATCTTTAAGAAACTTGTGGTATGTTTTGAGTTTTCTGGTAACCTTTATGGATTTTGTGGTAGGTTCTGACATGCTTTTATACACCTTATGATCTACTTTATGTTATTTGTGTTGTGTGGTTTGGTTATATTTCTGGTTTGTGTTTTGTGGTAGGGTTAATACCCTAGTTTGGCCTGAAGTTTAGCGTGAATGACAGTTCTGGCCCCATTTTTCAAATAAGACATTTACGACCTACTTTTGAAATCATTGGACAAATTTGGCCCGAAACTTGTGTTGACCGTTAATATTAACGGTCAAA